TAATCACACCACCATTTCTCTTACACCTTACATACACACATACTCGAATGGGAAATTAAAATTTAACTTTATGCAAACATACATCCGATTCGTTAGGGGATCCCGGAATCCCGAGATTTTATTATTGGAAATACTATCCTAAGTAGCCGTTTCCATAACATGTTAGCCAAAAAACCACCTTAGGTATAATTGTAACTTTAAACTATACTTAACTACACGTATAACTTAAAATCTCGATAAAACGTTTCTTGTAATATAATAAATTTGATTTCGTCATTGTATGTAAATCATGTACTTATCTAAACTTCAAAGTATTTACTAGCAGTGAACGTGACTACGATTGCATACAATTTTCGTTCTATCCAAATTAATCAAAACCGGATCTGGTTTTATTAAACCACCAACCATAAAACTTCACGTTCATACTAGTTTTTGTCCGTGGCTTAGCTTGCGTTAAAATCGGAGCAACGTAGTTCACTCGATAGAACTTTTAAAAAGCCCGATTGACGTTTCCACTTATTTACTAACATTTATTTAGTACTTCTATAAAGTTTTCTTATTTGTCCATATAAACTTTAGAACCCCGTTTCATCCCTTTCCCTCAGGGGGTGAATTTTGGAAATTCCTTTCTTAGCGGATGCCAACGCTATAATAAAAGCCAAGTTCGAAGTAAGAAAATTCGTATAGTAAGATTATTGTTATGTTTTTTAGATATTTTCGATTATTATGTAGTTTACTATTTAAGGTATTTAACTGCTCGGATCAAACAAAAAGTATAGATACCGTGTACGTACCTAAATACAAGGTACACAGGTACAACCAAAACCAAGCACAAATATGTCAATCGAGTAATAACAGTGCCACTTTTTTGTATGCAGCGCTCCATCTGTACCTTTTTTTATTTGATGTTTAAATCAAAAGATTTCTTTTTCCGGTAATAAAAACTTTTAGATTCATATCTAAAGATTTTTTTTCAGTAATAAAAAACTTATAGATTTAAGTATTGTGGAAGCAATGACTCTGTATAAGTTAGTTTTTCTACAATAACGTTGTTATTTATAAACGTTAGGTTAAGAGGGAGTGCCATATCAATAGTATTGGGTAAAACACCTCTTAAGAATATAAAAAAGAACTTTAAGAGCACAGCTGCAGTACTTTCTAATATCATCGCGAACACACAGACAGACAGACGCGACAGAGATCTTGTTCTATACTATAATACGCAGTGATATGTAATGATAAGGCTATTTTTAAACTTATCTGTTGGATTGTGTGGGTATTCCTGAAACAACGGATAAGGTAATCTATAATGCAGATGAGCTGTCAGTTCAGTTAGTGGGATATCAGCAATGATACACAAGAGTAAAACGCACTGTGCACGCTATAAAATATTATCACCTGGTGATAAAGATACTTTTATCTGTTGCAGATTTAATACGTTTTTTTTGGACTTAATTAGTTAATTAATTTCGGTGTAGTAATCGTGCCCGGCAACAAATTTAATGATGACAATAAAATAATATTATATTTATTTATTTTTATTTATTTACTTGATTGCACATGTACAGTATAAGATCTTATACAATTATTTTAGTATGGTACATGACCCTGTCAGGGTGTTGCAAGTATAATTATACTCAAAACTCAAACTCACAACATTTATCCAGTCTAGGCTGTTACAAGCTCTAGTGAAAATCAAACGCTACGCCATCGGTTCGTAAATCTACGGCGGGAGACCTTGTACTGAGAAGAACCGGCAAGAAACTCACTCACTCACTCGCAAGGGCTATTTGTTTCGCCCTGTTTTGTTTCATACAGTGTCGTCAATTGAAAGATGACATCAAAAATTGAAAACATGTGTTGATGTCAACTTTCATCACATTAATATTATTAATTAACAAAAGTTATGTATAGCTAGGTATAACTTTTAAATTTAGAAGTGGAGATTAAACAATTTTCAACTAGCGTGCTTGCTGAAACTCAATTTGCTATCCAACAAAACTCCTAAATTATGCGATTCCAAAACTTTATCCTTGTTATCTACGTGTATTTAAAGATTGATTAAGTGACAATTTATTAAATTAACTTGTTTGTTAGTCCCAAGAACAAGAATTTTAGATTTAGTAGAATTCAGTTCAAGCCCAATTCGCTTTTGACCACTAGGCAACTAGGCACCACGTAGATTTCATTTATTTCTTCCACAGCTGCATCCGCATCTTTAGGTTTAAAAGACTTGTATATCTCTAGATCATCAGCATACAAGTGATATTCGTTATGCATAATATATGCTGGTAAATCGGCGTTAAATGCGATATACAGTATAGGGCCTAAAATCATTCCCTGTGGAACTCCTTTGTTTACTGCAGAAGTGGATGAAATACGTTTCGTGCCATTAGTACCAACAACCTCCACTCTCTGCCAACGACGTGATAAGTAAGTTGAGAACCAATTAACTGCTGCTATCCCGACCGGTAATAATATTGTGTAAAACATCTAAAAGAGCGGTTGCTTTACTTCTAACTGGTTTAAATCCTGCTTGTTTTCTATTGTAATAAAGAATTTTTACATAGGTAATCTGCCATTTGAATATTTCCTAAAATACTATATTATTTAAACTCACAAAATACATTGAAACTACTAAATAAACTATATTTATATAATATATAAATCTAATATATTTATTTATAAAATAAATATATTTTTAGTTTGGTATAAGTATTTAGTTTATATTATAATATATATATATATATATATATTAGTATTTAGTAGTTAATCGTTCATTATTATTATTATTTTTTTTGCCTAAACGGTAGGACACGTCATTCCTAAACTTTGTTAAACCATTTTTTTTTACATATTTTTATTTTTTATTTTATAGTCATAATTTTTATATTATTTGCATTTTTTTTTTGTTTGTAATGAAAAGTGACTTTATGAGTTACCTCATATTGAAGTCATTTTTCAATTTGACGACTCTGTATATAATACAGGGAGAAAAAAACAGCCCTTGCTGAGTTTCTTGCCGGTTCTTCACAGTACAAGGTCTCCCGCCGTAGATTTGCGAACCGATGGCGTAGCTTTTCGACATTCACAAGTGCTTGTAACAGCCTAGACTGAATAAACGATACTGAATTTTGAATTTTATTTTTATATAATATACATATATTTATATAACCTTTTCTAACACTTTTGACTGAAACGGTAGAATGCTAATAGACCGAAGATCTTTACAGGCATTAAGGTAAAATATAGACTTTATAACATAAAAGCAATGATAAACTAAATGAGAAATCAAACCCATGACATTAGGAACAGAAGGTTGCCGTTGTTCCAACCGGTCGTTCTGAACATTTCCCGTTGGTAGGAAAAAAACTCTACTTTGGTTTTAACTCATTTTACTAATATTTTTATTCAACTTTTAATCCAGCTTTATGAATGCTAGATTATATTCAACTGCTAAATTTAAAAAAAGAAAGAAAATGTTATCGGAAAGTGTCTCACGCGGTCCAGGCAACAGACTCGGCTTGCAGAATAACTCGGCAACGGTACTCGAACCTTCCGCAATCCGGGCTGAATGAAGTTAATTATTTATTCTAAAAAAAAATAATTACATGAATTTTATCTTCAGATATTTTGAAAATATTTCAAAGTTCATATCAATAAATTCTTTTATAACCCGCAACTTTTTGCTTATAAATTTCAATTATGATAAGCGGAAAGCAGACAAAAACCCGATATACGATTATCTCTTGAACGAAAAATTTACGAATCACGTAGTATGCCGCCATACTCCTGATTAAGATATTTAACGTAAATTAAATTATATCTGTGATGAATCGTGTAATTATTAAAATAGTAATAATAAAGCTCGATAATAATTAACAATAAATAGCTTTAGCATAATAACACAAAATTGATAACCAGAGAATTATAAATATGTATGTATGTAGAAAAATGAACTCAAGACGAGTAATTATTAATATACCGTCTTTAATTTGTTGATAAGATTTCTTAGGCCTCGGTTTGTTTGATAGGCGATGAGCGGAAGTATATAATATTTTAATTATACTTAATGGGGATAATAACTAAACTTTTTTCACATCTATCAGGTAAGTAATAACTTCTTTTACGACGGGGTGTAAATGTAAAAATCCTATGGAAAAGATGAAACGGGAATGCCTTACGAGCATCAATGACTTTAATATATTAATTATGTGTGTGTTTGTGTGTTTGTGGGATGCTTGCGCAGCTTTTCCCGACGAGCATGAAAATTGGAGGATAACTCGGCAAAGGCTGAAAAGCTACAAATGTCACGAGCGTCACACACAACAATATATATATATTTATATACATATATATGAATGATGCGTGTGCTGCTCCATTCCCCTATACACGACCGTGCACACTATTTTTTCCTTTATTCACATAATCAAAATATTAAAGAGATAATATTGATTTGAAATGTCGCATGACGCATGCGCACTATCTTTGTAATTTTCTGTTTTTTTGATCTGATCAAAAGTAAAATTAGTGTCCATTATTTTTTAACAACTTTAAAAAAGGATGTTCTCAGTATAACATGTATGTATGTTTTTCCGAAATTATCCCAAAAACTACTGATCCGTTTTAGACAGGGTTTTTTGTTATATAAATTCGTATTTATCAGGGAAGGTTTAAGTAAGTAATATACTAGCAGTATCCCACGGTGTCACCCATGTACATAAACCTACTCGTATAAAATTTCCAGTCAGCAGTGTATTCTGTATTACAAAAAAAAATGTAAAATAGAACTTTCTTTGGTCGAACACTTGGGGACATAATTTAATGCACAGGTCGACTACATTGTTATGAAATTTTACTTTTTTAGACTCTTACCAAGTAAGACTCTCAGTAAGGTTTTGGTCTATTTATTCTGGCAGACTCTTTGGCGGATTGTCATTTTGTTCATGTATAATAATTGCTTTTCTGTTATAATTCATTCGTCTATTTCATTGTTCCAGGTACCCTATATAGAAGTTAGTCTTAAGGACAATTCACACACGCGTACCAGACGCACAATCGGCATGGATTGCACCGAAAACACAAAGGAGGTGCGATGCTGCCGATACCCCCTCGTCGTGAACTTCGAGGAGTTCGGCTGGGACTGGATCATAGCGCCCAAGTTGTACGACGCGAACTACTGCAGCGGCGAATGCCCGTACAGTTTCCTGCAGAAGTTCCCTCACACGCATTTAGTCCATTTAGCCGCGCCCCAAGGCAGCGGCGGCCCCTGCTGCGCCCCCAGAAAAATGAGCAGCATCAGCATGTTGTACTTCAACAATGATCTGAACATCATATACGGGACTATACCAGGCATGGTCGTTGACAGCTGCGGCTGCTCATAGCAGGCGGTAGCTTACCCTGGCTCCTCACGAAAGTGATAGTAAATAAATCTTCCAAAATCTCTTTCAGTCATGATCTCTTTAGTCAAGTGTTGCCGCAAAATTAAAAAGCATTTATTTTTTTATTAGTTTATGTTTTCGGCCTAGCAAGTCACGCTGTGTTCTTTGAAAAAAAAAAACTAGGAGCCTTTTTATTAGTGTTGTGTCTATCGCTATGTGATATTTTGAAGGTTGAAGACTGGATATCTAAGTGTTGTGTGTTGCGGTGCGAGTGACCATAAATGTAATATATTTAACATTTGTACCTACAAAATAGATTAATGTCATCTTCTCTCATACTGTTAGCGCTGTAAATGAGATTGTAAAGAGGTTTTCGGTCAGAGTTTGTTTTAAGACCACGACAAGTGTAATCTGGAAAATTTAGCGCACTAAAACTTATGTTCGGCTAGTATTATTGATCTATTTGTTAGCTTAATCTTAGTGTCATTATGTAACGTGTAAAGTAAACATTCTGACTCTTAAGCCTGTACCTTCATGCATTTAATTATTTCTCATTTTATGTAAGCAGCATTGCAAAGGAAATGTTCCCTTAACTTTCCTCATCAATTACAGAACATATTATTTGTTCGTAGATTTTTTTTTATAATTTCATCAAAGAAAAACCAGGAATTGTCAAATTTTGTTTTTCTTTTTTTTGAAATGGCTTGCTGTGTGGGTTACTGCGATTCAGCAATTACCAAGTGGTTCAAAATTTATTACTTTAAATATTTCTGCATTTTTAAAACACATGTCAAATCAGGTGCTATCATTGTCAGCCTAGATATAAAGTATGTAATGATTAGAAAACTTGAGCACATTTTGATGCTCTTCGAATTAAGTGTATACAATATAGAAATATTCAGGGATGGAGCATGCTTTAGCAAATTACAGTGTATGTTACCTATAATAAGCATATATTTTTTCTTTTTCCCATGGTTAAACTCGTATGTCCAACAGATATAATTTGTCTTGTGATCTAACTGTCTTGTTTAATGAATACGAATTCAGACCAGAGACCAATTTTTAAGATTTCTATCTTATTTTTTTTTAATTCTGAAATTTTATTTCTCAAAATGAAGCAGTAGTCTATTGTCGAGCCTTCATGATTTAATGATCTAAATCTTGTTCATCTTCACAAACAACAAGTAAGATCCAATCATTAAAAATAATTATAAAAGAGGAGCTCGATACTTGAAGGCACTTTTCATGAGTTGATCATTTAAAAAAGAAAATAATTATCTTTGATGATCCCAAAATTCAGTACAACGCTGTGTTCTCTTTTTAAATACGCCTAATTATTACGCTAATGTCAAAAGTTGCTTCAATTATCGGCTCGACTTCAGATAGCCGTGGCGGAGACGAATAGTTTATTTTTTTTATTAAATCAATAATCTTTTTTATTTCAACCTTTGGCAGTTTCGTTGTGAGGAGCGCTGATAGTGGCGTATGTAAGTTCAATGATAATGCATTAATTATATTGTTTTATCAAGCATTGCTTCGTTGGTCTCGATTTTTAAATGACGTTCTCCTTTGCTACAAGTCCCTTAGCATTCATAGAGAGTTGCTGTCGATTTGCGACGTTTTAGATAACTTTGTCTCCATCCCTAAATACTTCTATTGCGTCATCAGATTTTAAACACAGTTCAGGAGATAAGCCTAAGTCGTCTCCTGAAAGTCTTCGTTAAGAAATTCTTAATCGAAACGTTTCCCGAGTTAACTTTAATCATTAAACAATCTTAAGAAAATTTATGTTTATATGTATGGATAAGAACAGTTATTTATTCAACATCATTGTCATCGTCATCTTAATTATCGCTAATTACACTTCATACCTACATTTTTTGCAGCTAAAGTCTAAAAATTTCTATGCAGTATTCCTAAGGATTAATGCCGCGTTTAAAACAAAATATGAATCGAGTCTTAAAATACATCAACAAATAACAAAATTAAAGAATATGCACCAAAATTATGATAGACAAATTTATTTATTTGCTATAACTTTTGTCTAGTTTTTCTTTCTTTCCATGAATAAAAAAGGCTATAGTTTTTATAGACTTTATATTTCGACATTGGATAAAACTCATGTTTGTTTTCCTTTTAGCATTTTCCATTTACTTAATAGCGACCACAATCAGGAATGTCAATTTTATTTATTTATTCATTATTGTTTTCGCAAAAAGTAATAACACCAGCTTTAATCATACTTAAAAGTTAACGATTGACATCTCTGAGGCGTCCGTTATTGATTAATTTCTCGTAAACTCGTCTTACTCAGCTTCCCCGCCATTTCCAGTTTCTGTCATTTCTCCTTTACATATTTTAATGCAACTTATCTCTAAGTAGGTTATAAAAAATTCAATGTGTTTCTATTTTTAAGCATAAATTCTTACGAAAACAAATCTATATTAAAAATATATGTATGTGTAATTATATATATCCTAGCGGGTGGTACTTTAATAGGTTTTTTATATATAAAATATATTTTCAGTGCCTACCCAACAATTGTTTAGACACATACTTAATTGTAATGTGACGTATTATTTTGGCGTGATTTAAACAAATATATGATGATAATAATTATTAGTTTGAGATGATATTTTTTTTAATGTAATAATTAAGTTTTAGAAAAATTGTCGGAAGTTAGAATTTCAAAAAAATTATAGATCTCATTTTGAGGCAAATTTGTGCCTTTCTAAAGATCTCCATTGCTTTTGGTTAACCAACAGAAAAACGAAATGTGTTTTTTTAGTCTTTAAGTTTGTCGTCGTAACTTGATTATTATTGTCGGAAAAAGAAAAACTAACATTTTGTCGTGTTGTAAGCTCTACGAAATAAATTTCAACTCATATTTTTTACGATTTGTATTATTTTGTGGGTGTAGTCTTTTTATATGGAAATATATCTCTATAAAAAATCTGTGATTTTATTGATTTCTCACTTAAATCTAAAGAAAATTTTACTATAAATATCTTTTGTTCACAAAATACCCTCATCATCAGTTGGTTCGGTATTTTTATTAAAATAGAAGTAATTGCAACTCCCCGAGGTCCTCCTTGATTAAGGAATATACCTATATTTCTTAATCAAGGAGGACCTCGGGGAGTGTGCTCCGGAGTTCATTCCGCCTTCCTTTCTTGGTTGCTGTCCCTTTCGCATCCAACGCTTCTGAAATACTTTATAAAGCGTACAGTGAAGGAATGGACCTGCCTGCGTTTGTTGCCGAGTACATTTCTGCCGTCCTCAAACTAAAATGCGGACAAGTGACATGTGGTCGATTTTTCAGTCTTAAATTGCATCTTATACAGTTTTTAATTCTCTATCGATCTGCTTTAACAATTATTTGTTTCGTATCAATATCCGGAATCCATCTTTATTGTGCTAATCCAATATTAAAGATATGTTTTTTCTTTTCTTTTTTTTCTGTTTTATTTTTAATCTGCATCTACACAACAAAGTGTTTCTATCTCTCTCGCACCAGATGATAACAAAGGAATCACTCCAGATGGATTCCATTGAATCTATCCTTCGGTACGGAATTATACTCTGGGGTAATAGCACGGATAAGAATAGAGCCTTTATTGCACAAAAGAAGTGCATTAGGGCAATATGTGGAATCCCGCCAGACCAATCATGTAGACCATTATTTAAAAGTCTTGGATTGTTGCCGCTGCCATCGCTGTACATATATGAATTAGCAGTGTTTGTCCACGGGCACAAGCAGTTGTTCAAGAGGGTTAATAATTTCCGGCTTAGAGACCCTTACAGAATGATATTTAATGAGGTCCCAAGGTCTGACAAATATAGGAAAAGTTGCTTATGCCTTTGTGTCGAGATCTATAATAAAATCCCTCCCGACATAAAAATACTGAATATGAACATGTTTAAAAATAAATTATATAAATGGCTAAATGAAAACAATTTTTATGACCTAAAAAGTTTTTTCAATTATAAAAATTAATGACATGTTTTAATTTATCCTATAATAATTATGATAAATGTATCTTTTTAATTTTTAATTTTTTTTTATATCTGACATTTAGAAATCTTGTAATATTAATATGTTGTAGTACATTGTATATTTTATTCACATAATATTAGGTAACTCTGACATTCATAATTCTACAGAAAAATGTTATAATTAATTAATCTCTTTTTTTTATTGGTTCCATATTATGTATTTGCATGCTATTTTTAAAATGGCAAAACACGTGCTCAAACCGTTGTGTAATACCTATATACCGTGTTTTTAGCAAATAAAGATTATGATTTATGATTTATGATACGAAACAAATAATTGAGAGTTTTACCAACAAATAAAACTTACCTATTATTTTTTCTTCAATATCTGGAATTCAGGTAAATGCTACCTAGGCTCGTCATGGGCGTATCAAAGTAAGTTCCAAGTCACGACATTGAGGGCGCCACAATCAGAGGAAACGCTGATTTAAACGGTAGAAAGACAAGTGCTTGACTCAAGATATATTCCGGTTGTTGAAGAAAAAATTATTAATTTTAAAATAAAAATTACCTATTGGTAAGTTTTATTTGTTGGTAAAACTCTCTTTTATTCGTATCGTTTATAGTTTAAGGGTCTGTTTTATAATAGCTGAGTAAAGTTCCCAATAAGTTACTCAGAACTTCAATCTGCTCAATAAACAAATAGGAATGTTGATTTTGTCGTTGACAAGACACATTTGCTTGCTTTCAAACGCTTTTTCTTAACTTTTTAATTTATTCTTAACTGAGCAGATAAGCTAACTTAGAACTTTACTCAGATGTTGTGAAACAGACCCTTAGTCTAAAAATCCGTCATGATGTGGTGAATGGTTACCAAATAGGAATAATTTAAAATTTACACGTCGTTTATGGCCATAAATCTAGTTGGTTTTGTCATTTAGCCACGTTTTAGCATGAGGACGGCAGATATACAAATAATTCGACTCTTTTTAAACTAGAGTGAATAAGCTTCTGGGTAAGCTTACTACATCGTAGATCCTATCTGCTGAGCTGCTGAGAGAAAAAGGCTCAACAACTTACTCATTAAGAAATTAAAAGAAAGCGCAATAGTTAGCCTGACCCAACAGCCCATCGTTGGTTAGGCGATCAAAAAATAATTATCTCGAACCCCTAAGTGCTTCGAAAGGGTCACACTATCAGAATAATCCACGTTGAAAAATAACGATATCGACCAAACATCTTCAGATTTAAATGCTATAGTCATTGGGTGCCCACGATACAGGACTTCCTAGGGTGGGACCCATGGTTATAAGCTGACTGTATGATGTAAATTTTAATTAATATATTTGTATTTTTATAATTGTAGTTATAGATAAATAAATAAATAAATATTTCCAACTCTCACACCAATTAGCCTAGGCCCAAAGTAAGCACTGTAAGGCTTGTGTTATGGGATAGATAAAATACATATACAGTACATATATAAGTATATTTATATAGAAATACATATTAAACATCCATGACTGGAGTACAAATGCTCGTGTTCATCACACAAACATCTGCCCCACCGGGATTCGAACCCGGGACCTCTCGAGTCGGCGACACTATGAAACCCGGCGTACAAACCACTCGGCCACGGAGGTGGTCGAGGAGATGAATACTAAACGCCATAGTAGCAAAACATCTGGATTTTTTTATTTTTATTAATCCATACACCATTAAGGTTAATTTGGCATTCTGGATCTTAAATGTCGTAATTCAAAATCCAGTAAATCGTCGTATTATTAAAAAGCCATCTAATTCTAAGAGAGAGAGAAAGAGAGATAAGTCACAGCGGATTTCCCGCTCGAATTGGAGCGCCCATCTGGGGGAGCAACCCCAACCTTATAGAACAACACAGTAAAATAACACTACCCTTTGGTGGTGTTGTGTTACTGTTGGCGAGTGGGGGTTCCAGGGCTCCAGGAGTTAGGAATTAGATTCAGGCCGGCAAGGTGACGATGGCTGGAGGTGTGCCGACACCTTCTGCCGCATCTATCTTCGCGTCTGGACTCCACTTACAGTTGACATCAAGTGGGTTTACACCCCTCCCCCACACCTACAGTGCGACAAGGATCTGTATGAATGTAACAGTTCAGAGGGCGCCACTGTGTACGTAGGTAAAAATAACATAAAATATGACGTTAACAAAGACGGCGTTAGTTCCAATTTTCGCCACATTCATATAGATTCTTGTAGCACTATAATTTGTTGCGCCTCGTAAAAAAAACGCAACCTCAGAATAAAAGTTACTGCATGTTTTGCTTTCTCCATGTGGTTGTAAAGCTTTTAATGGTCATTTTAAAGCGAAATCTGATTATCTGTGCGTTATTTAGATTTCACATTATTTAATTCTCATCTTGTAAGCTAAGAAAATAAGTAAGGAATTATAAAATACAAAGACAAAACATTAATTTGTGGTCATTCTCTCAGAACAGCCACTCTTTATTATTTATATAAACTTTAAATTATTTACATGTTCCGTTTTTTTTCTACTTTACATTAATATAGTCAACGATGTTAAAATACGATCAAAACAAAAAATATATTTAACAGAAATACACAAGACAAATTTACAATTACGTACCTACTTTATTTAAACAGTGGGAAAAATAGATGGACTAGTATACCCAATTACAAAAAATAATAGTTTCCCCACAAACTTTCCTTATGTTTCTTTCATACCAATTATAAAAAAGTATTTCATAAATTTCGGCTCGAGTGCACTAAAATATTTTAAAAATCATTTTTTTATTGTGGAGCCGACTATTTATTAAACACTTCAGTCTAATGTATTGCTTAAATTGATTCAAAATATACAAGAAAAATAATATAGGTATGTTTAATATGCTGCGCTTGCGTCAATTCTCATAAAACAATTCCATTGCGTTATTCAAACGGTGACAGTTTCACATGGCATTAAAAAAACTTACACGCTATATTCAAATCATTCAATTAACACTTCAATAGACGGACATAGTGTGCGACGGAAAATCTATTTGTAATACGTGTGAAAGGGACATCGCTATCTCTTTTCGTCCAATCGTTCTTTGGGAAGATTTTATACAACAACAAGGTCAGGTTACAGAAATATTATTACAATTAAATTAATAAAAATGAAACTATACTCATCTAATTGTAACTCTATGGTTGAAATGAAGTTTTTTTATACTTCAAGTAAGTTTTTTTTAAAGACTAACCCTTTAGAAATAAAGCGGCGTATTAGCATTTTTTTTGGCTATAAAATGTTTTGTTCTTGTCGTTCAAGGTTATTTCGAATGGGAGCGAGAGAGACAACACATTTTATGACTGTGTTGAATGCTCAAACAGCGCTTATCACTAAGGCCCTAAAGTTCTAATTTACAGAGAAGTGCACAACATCGATTGGTGTCAGTCTATATATAGTCTGGATGGAGTTTTTCTGAACGAACGTATACTTAATACAAGAAAGCTGCTGTAACACGAAAAGAAACTAAATTAGCTACACTGATATTGCCACAGTAAAAAAAAACAGTACCCGAACGTACGCAGTTGCGACTTAAATATGGCAACACTAGAATTTAACAATGAAAATGTTGCAGCTCGTCTTCTTAATCATTATACTCGAATAGTTGAAGCAATTAGGGCAATCATTGCTTCTTAAGATCTTAAATGTTATCGTAAAAGCTTTTTTTTATAAGTTTTTTTCTTAATTATGTACAAAAACTGGATGAAAATCATGTGACATTGCTATTTCTAAGCCACAACTGTACTAGTTACATTATGGCAGTGTATTTCTGTTGTCAGAAGTATTTTAGCAAACTTATTCTAAAGCATACAAATGAACATCACAGATTTTTACGCCTACAGTAAGGGAAATGCAAGTAAAGAGGAAAAATGCCATGATTTTAGTAACAAAAAAGGTCGATAGACTTAGTAAGGTCACATTGGAAGTACTAAGAGTCTAGTACTAAAACACTATTTATATACAAAAACCTGAGGTTCGTCCAGAAATCCATAGAGCATGTAAAAACGAAAACTTTTTATTAAAATGCTACTACATAGTTTACACACGTTAAAAAAAATATTGTAAAAATTATCGTCTTCTGCTAAGGGTTTCTGAACGAACCAGGAGACCAGCAGACAAGTCGGAACAAGTGTCAGATTCACCGCTCAACAAAACATGTCTGCGAGTGCGTACAACTCAAAAGTGGTCACAATGAGAATTTTGAGCCGTCATCATAATTTAAATAGGATCACAGTGGAAAAAGTGATGTAGGTTTACATTCTAAAAACTATAAATATATGTTTTTTTAAAGTCCATATTATGGCAAGGTTCCTACGTAAACACTATCACTTATCGTGTTTCCTATAAGACAACTATGTCTAAGTCCATAGAAAAATTCATTGCCTGTACACTCTCGCACGAAAGTCACAACACTCGAAAAAAAAACTAATCCGGTATTTACCGGGATCACACAATTTCACCGATTTAAAAACTGGGCTGTGAGACAGTCCTTGGATTACCGCTCTGCGGTTGGTATACATCATAGGAGTTATGCGGTTCCAAATGGCAGACAACATTGTTTTCTCCGTTCAGCACAGCGGCCAATGCCCTCATATTATTTTCCTGTGGTTGGTGGTAGGGATGCATGAGTCTTCCACTCTCATAATGCCTCGGGTCGTAGCGTTCCAGTGTGTCCCATTTCCCGTACTTCCCGTAGTGTTCCTCGTGATGATGGCGCTCACCGGGACTGTAGGAAATGAGGGGTCGATGGTCCCCGAAAAACTTGGAACTCGAAGAGCCATGGTGCTGCGTCTGTCGGCAGTTATCAGGACCAGAATTGTCATCCGACATATCGGACATGAGAGTTTCGTTTCTTTCGATCTCCTCGTATACAGGGTCATCTTGGATCACCCTGAACTCCTGTTCGGAACCTCGACGGTACATTCGCGCCTGTTGCGGACCTATTTCCGAGTACGTATGGTTCACGTTCTGTCCGTGATGATGATGTTTTCTCCTGTTTTCGTCTTTGTAGTGCTTCCGAAAAATCATCTCCTGGCTTCCAGGGGAATGCTGGGACATGTAAACGTGAGGGTTTCTAAAGTCGTGGTTGTAGCTACGCGTGGTCTGGTACCCTTGGTGATGGAGGGGACTCTCCTCGTCTTTGACTACGTGGCGGGGAGATCCGGGAGCTATGGGCATGTCGCACTCATTGTAAGGACTGTGTAAGTGGTTTTGCTGCACCATCTGACGGGACAAAGTGTCGTGGTGAGGTAGAGTTGCCGCGTTACCCGGATGATGCTTAGAAGAAGTGTTCTGCGGAGAAATGAGGAAATCAGAAATTCCATAAATTATTTTTTCAATTACCTACTAATGTTTATGATGAAAGAAATCTAAGGAACTTTGATTTTGCTATTTAGACGAATACATGCCGTGATTTGTTTACGAAAAGACAGCTCAATAATGATATTGATGTAACTGCCAATGCTATGAGTAAGAAATTAATGAAAGACTAAAAGTATAATAGTCAGAAGAGTACTATATATAGATGTAAGATCCAATACTATATCTAGATGAGTAAGAATTAATTTCGTTCTATGAAATGCTAAAGGTCTTCGAATAGTACATAACAAATGTAGCAAAATATTTGCCATAGGTATAAATGAAAGCTTTATATCCTATTCTTAAAATTGTATATACAATAACAGTTCTAACACATGTTGTTAAAATTCATGAAACCCTAGAAAAACCTTTTTTAAGTACAAGTTATAAGAAAAATGGAAGAACGATAGTGCTCACTTAAAAACACGTGCTGTTTTTTCAACTAAACTAATCGTGAAAAGTGTTAAGAAGGGTATGGGTTGGGCTAAAGTGTGTACATTATTGTGTGAGCTCGGATGATGCCATGCAATGTTCTATGGTTAGGAGACATGCGAGTTAAAACGCTTCGGTAAGATCCCTTGAGGTAGGATATATTAATAAATCTGTGGGTAAATCTGTAAAATAAAATCGTACCGTCGACCAAATAGCTGCAATTTTAGACATTAGTTAAATATTGATTACGTTACGTTTGATTTTTTTGGCATAATTTTCTAATATCAATTACGTCTTAACAGAGCAGCACAATGACTTTTGTTGAATATCCATACAATCGTTGCTCAACGCTCAGCTTAGCGTTGCAGATCAGCTCACGGCTCACATGCAAGCTGGACCTGCAAACCGGTTAACAGATAAGCTCACTCAGTAACTCAGTCTAACCGGCCGACACAGGAACCGTTTCGCCCTTCTGGGTTCGTTCGGTGATAATAATACTCACGAGTCACAGAGTTGCCAACGAAAATTTTCAGCCAGCCAAGTAAAGTTGTCAAAAAAGTCGTGTCATATAGTTAGACATATCTGAGGTCGGCCGTTGTATAAGTTCAATTGAATTAAAGTTTCTTGTAAAGGTCTAAACTTGTGTTGACAAGGTGGGTGCGATAATGCGACATAATTAGAAGCCGTAGAATATCTATGCTACAGCCTTGTGGTAACGACCGTAGGCCGTAGATTTACTAGTTTTTCAATCAAAAAGCCATAGAACACGGTAATTGCAATTGTTTTGGCAACACTGCGTTTCTTTGTCAGTGTGGGTGAATATACCTATCCTAGAGAGCCGTAACCTGTTTGTTTTGTCGTTTAGCTGCAGATCAACGATTCAAATCTATTGGATCTGAATATTTGAACCGTTTTAGAGCTGAGTTACTCATGTCTAATATGGAAAGACAGGAAAAACGAATAAATATAGGAATCAGAAGGATTGCAAAAAAAATCATACGGGATCTTACCAAAGCGCTCAACTAAAAAAGACTAACATCACACAAAGCGTACAGCCCTCCCCTCACCTTCCATATCCCTCCACCATTCGCCATTAGCGCCCAGTCGTTCGCGCCAATCGAAGCGGCCATCTTGTTAGAGAAACAAGATGGCGACCGCGCGCGCAAGTTCTGATAATCGTTTGGCACTTCGATGTTGTTTCTGTAGCTATGCATCGACGCTATGCTTTGAGTGTGGGACGTGCTATGTGGGATGTTTTGCGGTGTTGCCACCCTCATGGTTCGATCGTCAGTCGGAACGTAAATTGGCGCAGTTGGTCTCACATTCCACCTCGCCGTCTCTGGTTGTATGTTGTAACTCTGTATGGATATTATACTCATAATAAATACATATAATATTACATAAATTTTCAATAAGGATACTATAGTCGCCATTACCACCTTCGAATAGTCGGCTAAATAGCTGAAAACTGCTGCTGTATTCATGCACGATATCTATAATAGTGTTCACTACCTGTTTAGATAATATACAAGAAATATGTAAATAAGTTTTTATAGAAGAGTAGGTACTAATAATTTATCAACAATCTGAACTTTGCAGCTTACTAATAAGAAGAGTTTTTAAGATCCAGATTATGCATACGTATTACACAGAGATAGGATTCAATTTTTCGGTCTAAATTTTGACAGTTTCGCAATAAATATTACTCTAGAAGCATCGTTTTGAAGTATTTCATACTGTTTAGATGCTCTAGGACCACCACACCACTAAGAAATTTGTTAGTAAAAGAAAGAGACGCAAATTAATTAGTTAGTTACAAAAAGCGGTGAAAGAAAAAAATAAAATAAAAAGGACTTACCGTATTTATATAATTTGGTAGCATATTTATCAAACGTATTTATGAATGATATTTATGCTGTTTAACAGAGGCTACCTTTGCGAGTCCAATGAAAAAATAGTGCGTTTCGTTTCACGCGGTGCACAGAAACAAAAGGTTAGTTACACAAAAATACAAAACAAAAACTTGTTAAACAAAACAGACACGGAACACAAAATTGAGCTGCCTTTTAGTAACATTGAAAGCCAAAGTGGTGATTGGGTGGTTTTTTACTTTGAATACTTTTTAAATTTAATTATCTGTGTGGAATTTTGAATAAATCCTATCTCGTTTAATGCGTACGCACCTTGCTGGACGTTCTGCCTATATCCTTGCGGGTAGCGACCGCTGCCTGTGTTCATAGGGTTTCTCAAGTGCGTCATCGGGGCCCCTTCTCTATCTGGGATATGACGTTGGAATTCCGCCGCTGTTGCGTTCAACGAAGGACCAAAATTGCTTGGCGGTCCGAAATTCTGATTATCCTGGGAGTTTCTACGGTTTCTATGGGAATGGTAGCTATGGGCTGCGGCTGCGGCGGCTAAGGATGCAACGGCGGCGTTGTTGATCACATTGTTGTTGTTGTGGTTGTTATTGTTGACGACAACGTTCAGATTGTTGATCACTAGGTTGTTGGTCGTCGATGCAGACACGGATGTGCTCGCTGTGCTTTGCTGTTACAGAAATACTTATTTACATATTTCGTTCTGTTATTGCAATGCACCAGCACCAGTATTATTACTATATACTAATGTGAGACGTTTTGGGAAGGGTGTGTGTCACTCTTTTTTTGAAGAGGGAGCAAGTACTTATATGCTTCATCTTTAAATCAAGTATTTCTGATGTGTGTGTATGTAGTGTATTTTAGAGTGAATAGTTTGCGACAATGTTTACAAAATGTCAAATAATCATAGTAGTCTTGGCAGGTACCATCGTGTTTTAGGAATAGACGCTTTACAGTACCGAATATAGTGTATTTTGTTTTTTATTATATTTTCTATTGATAAGCTTAAACAATACAAATTGAAATTACTCCAAACCATTAGATTTCAAGTGTGTCTACAGTTCAAGTAAAATTGAAAGTTGAGTACATATGCAGGGGTTAGCTAGCAGCCACCAATTCATGACCCAATCTCCATTCATAGAAGGCCTTATTAGTAAGGACATTAGGTTGATAATTATAAAGAGGCACAAAACTCGCGGGTACTAATTTGTGTTACTTTTAGCAAATACCCTTTGTTTCGGCTGCTAATTGGTTGGATTTAAGTTTAATATAATTATTATGAGTATGGTTTGCAAATAGACAGTTTAAAGTTTGAGTAGATTCTATATCTATCAGTTCTTATGTCTCACCGTGATTTTGTAGGCTGCGTTCTGGTGAAGGATGCTATAGTTTGAAGGAAGGTTTGCTTAGAATCAATATATGAGTATTGTATTATCTTACTGTGAAATCTCTCGGGTCGATGGCGTCGTCGGAGTTGTTGGCAGCGTTCTGGTGGAAGCAGCGACTCTTCACTGATCTCTGGATAATGTAATATGAGTGCTAATTGTTTAAGATCAATATATGGGTGTTGTAGTATCTTACAGTGACATCTCTCGGGTCGATGGCGTCAACGGGGTCGTTGGGGTCTTTCTGATAGTAGCGGCGACCTTTGACGGATACAATATGAGTTCTAATAAGGAGGCTATGGTTTGAAGGTTGTTTAGGATTATTATAATATCTTACAGTGACATATTTCGGATCGACGGCGTCGTCGGGTTCGTTGGCCGCGTTCTGATGGTAGCGGAGACACTTGTCGGAGCCCTGGATATTATAAAATGAGTGCTGATAGAGGAGACTATAGTTTGAAGGTTGTTGGGGTTCAATTTAATATCTCACAGTGACGTCTGGTTGACGGCATCGTCGGGGTCGTTAACCGCGTTCTGGTGGTAGCGGCGACTCTTCACCGGCCCCTGACGGGTGTCGTGATGGGTGGAAGAAGCTAAAGTTTGATGGCTGACTAAGTATAATATAATATCTTACAGTGACATCTCTCAGGTCGATAGCATCATCGTGGTCGTTGGACGTATCCTGGTGGTAGCGGCTGCGCTTCACCGATCCTTGGATATATACTGGGAGTGCTGATAGAGAAGGCTGTAGTTTGAAGGTTGTTAAGGATCAATATAATATCTTACAGTGACATCTCTCGGGTCGACGACGTCGTCTTGGTCGTTGGCAGTATTCTGGTGGTAGCGACGACTCTTCACCGACCCCTGGCGGGTATCGTGGTGGGTGGAAGAAGTGGCGGCAGGAACTGGGGCGGTTAGTCTCACGCAGCACGAGAGCCATGGATGGCGACGGCAGATGCGACCACATTCCTTTTGGAACTATTGGGGGAAAAAAATGTTGTTGGCTGTATATGAAAGGAGTTACCTACATATAGGTATAAGAATAGAGTGGGGAAGGCGGCTCTTAAAGTATCCGTCTAGTAGAAAGCGAACGAAGTTGAGAGACCGTTAGCTATCTCTCTCTCTTGCGACGCATGGCATCCAATGGCATCACATCGAAATAGTATGATGCTTACGGTTGCCGATGCGCATGCGCGATTGAAGGGAGAAAGCTAGCGGTCTCTCATCTTCTTTCTCTTTCTATAAGAGGGACACTTCCACTTGTAGTAGATTCTATATCTCCCCTCCTCTATTCTTAGACCTCTATGGTTTACTACCCTTTTCTAATGAAGAAAAAATGAGAAAAGCTTTGGCTGTTTGGAAACGGAATTCATCGCCTTTTGTTTTTGTATCATGGTTTTTGTAGATAACTGTCGTTGACATAATATATTGACTGTACCCTTAGCACGAATCAATATAAAATTCGATTAGTTTGCGAGTTCGAAACTGATGTTTAGTTCCCGTTACGTTCGTTGTGGCGCTGCTGTTCAAGTTTCCATACAAAACTAATCATATATATAATGATAATGACATTTCGCACTCGATTTTTCATCTAGATTTGGGTTAAACCCATGGTACTGATAATGATAAACTTACGATCTCATTCTGCAAGCAGTGGAATATGAAAATGAACAGGCCCTGCAGCGAGTTGAGTATGGTGAAGGCATACGCGACGCCCACGGTCTGCTCGTTCAGGTACAGGAGGCCGAAGGTCCAGGTCAAACCAAGTAGGAAGGCCAGGACTAGGGAGCTGTTCAACCAAACCCTGGAATGCAAAAACATTACATGTATAGGGTAAAATTGAAAATGTTACCAGTAACGTGTAGTATTTAATTATTACCAAAAAAAATAATTAACTACAGAAGGACGGCTTTGTATATCCTAGGAAATAATTACCTGGACAAAGTACTATTGATTTCGACAGCAAGCTTTAATAAATTCTGCTTGGAAAGGCGTGAGCGTGTGATACGTGAGTGATTAGTATGCGTGACAGAAATGACGCTTTGTTCTGAGCTGATTTTCAGGTAGAGAGCAACCGTTTAACACTAAACCTAGTTTCACATGATAGTGCATTGCACGATTTAACGTCTGAACATTCAGTAACTGTACACTTAATTTTGAATATTATTGTAAAAACTTACAATGCCGTTTGCATTGTGAACTCTGTGACAAATAGCTTAAAGAAAGCTACAAAACTATTTTTCTTGTTACACGTCTAAAATTATACATGTGAACGAATCTTCATTCGCCATTCTGTACTGGACTCTTATTTAAATTTAATAAAATACTACGACGAAAGAGTAAATGGCTATAGAAAAATTATACATATACAAAAACAAAAAAGGTCCTAATAGACTTCCCTGAGGCACACCGCATTTATTTATTATATATTCTGAAGTAAATGGAACCTTTTCATTCTTTTTTAGTTTTGTTATTAACACACATTGCTGCCATTTTGCGTATAAAAAGCTAATAATATCACATAAAATAAATACACACCTTATTTTGTACAACTTAGAGTTCTCTTTAGCTTTGATGGACACCGTTGAATGATGACACATCATGTAAATCACCATGCTGAGACATATCCAGTTCGCCTGTAAACAAATTAGATTTTAAGAATTTTTAACAGAAATCATGAAATAAATACTTAAACTTGAATTTAAAAAAATCCTTGTTTGATTGCTGGCGAAACCAAGTGCAAGTTACTTACAGTATAATTTATAATAAAAATTGTAATGTTACAACCAAAATAATCAGGACTGAACGAATATTTCGTATTTTTATCTCAATCTTTCTGTAAGATCATTTATTATTACAAATTCAGGGAAGACGACAGTTGAAGCATTTACTGCCAGAGAGTATCTGATTTTGATCTCGGTCCCCCTTATTAATAAACAAGGAATAAGCTGAGACTAGTTACGTCGTGTTTTGTTCATGTCACTCTACCAACTGAAGAGTAGCCTCTCAGTAGACAACCAGCAGTGAGTGGCGGTCCATATCCTCCAGGAAAGAGGACAACTGTATCTGTTCTTACCAAATTATGTGTAAACTTACCGCTAATACTAAAGCCACGGGTCCCACGAAGCTCATGACGAACAGCCTCTCAGTAGACAGCCAGCAATGAGTGGCGGTGCCATATCCTCCAGGGAAAGCCGCAGCAGAAGCCAGTACGACCAAAGCGGGCGCTAAGTAAGCGCAGGCGCAGTACCAACGGGCGCGGGGGCGTTCTGGCTCGAATACTTCCACTAGCATCGCGTATAAGTGGAAACCTGGTAAAGTGTATGAGTAAATTTTAATATTTATTTCATCATCAGCTTATTAATGTACCCATTGCTGAGGCACAAGCCTTCCCTATGCATGGAATAGGGAGATTAAGCCGTTGGATTTGTGGGTGCTGCCTGTAGTTGCAACTGGGACCAACGGCACGTAAAGGTGCCTTCCGAAGCACGGAGGAGCTCGAGATAGTAATTTTTTTGTCACCCATCCAATGACCGGCCACTGCGAATGTTGCTTAACTTCAATGATCGTAGCCGAACGCGCTAACTTCTCGCTCGCTCCACAGATATTTATTTATCACATTTTATATCTAAAGAGGATGGCAAGTAAGCTTATGATCTGCCTGATTGTAAGCCTAAATCATAGCTATTAGACGCTTGCGATAGCAAAGTATCACTCAAGAGTTGCCTGTCCCCTATTTTTTAAAGCTTAACTCTAGATTGGTTAAGTAATCACTTTTAGTGCTAGTTTGTTTTGACAGTTTTATTAGGTAGGTATCTGATATCTCGAAAGAAGTGTCAGGAGTTCAAGTCCTGTCTGAATTCACCTTCTCAAGTATTTCTTTACTTAAAAATAAATCATTTATTGAAATATTAATGCGAAAATCATCAGAAATAAACATTATATAACATATTTTCGTAGCCCGCAAGTTACATAGTTCTGGACAATATTACAGTATCAATTGAAAATTTGACAATAAATGTATGACTCACTCAGGCTCCGTCTTACAGAATATTACACTATTTGAAAAATGGCAAAGACCGCTAAACTAAAAACCAATCACTTAAAAACTATTCACAAACAATCTAATTCAACTGGTTTGCTCAGTATTTATTTCAACATACCTTCCAAGAACATCCAAGCGAAGGCAGCGAGGAAGAAGTAGTGCAGCACACCGGCGATGACGCCGCACAGCACTCTGTACTCAGTCTGGTCTATGCCGGCCATGAATACCACTTCGGCTATCAGCAGGCACACGCAGAGGTTCTTATGGATTAGGACGCGGTCCGACTGGAGGAGAAAACGGTAAACAATTGTAAAACAAATAAACGGTAAACCTTCCACGTACCTACGTAAGTTGTTGTATCCCTAAAATTGCAATTTAACAGGAAAACATTTTAACGATTTTCAAGCTTTTCTAAAAACTGCCTCTATTAATGAATCTTTGTGAAATTTAGCATCTGAATGTAATTCGAATTATTCTTAACTACGTTATTACTAAAGGATAATTATAAAAATGAGTTTACTGTTTGAGATATTGTTCAGACAACATATAAGCGAAGTACAGTCTATACCAGTTGTTGTATCTCTAGATGTTGCGCAACCTACTCGTATGATGAGACCTATCGATAACGTATGACTCGGACTAAAAGTACTCCTTGAATGTTCTAAGCGTCTCTAAACTCTGAAATCTGTTTAAAACTCTTACCATTATATTCCTGAAGCAATGGAAGATTACTATAGCAGCGAACAGAGCTACTGTTGATATTGCGCAGCCAACTAGCGTTATCAATCGTAAGGATAACGCGTGGATGTGGCTTAAAGATACTCCGGGTTTGTCCATCTATTTTCAGTCTTTTTAAAGCTAGAAATTTGTTTTAAAACTGAGCAGAGCCTAAAATCTGTTCGAAAGTCTTACCTTCATATTCCTGAAGCAATGGAAGACTACTATAGCAGCGAACAGTGCAACTGCTGATATTGCGCAACCAACTAGCGTTATCAATCGTAAGGATAACGCGTGGACGTGGCTCAAAGGTACTCCGTGAACATCCATAAGTATCGCGAAGTTGGTGAGGTGGGAACACGCGCATCCGGTGTGGGTGGTGTTGGTCCATTCTACGGTACAGCCTTCAGATGACCAGCCGCTGTTGAAGAAAGGTAACGTTTTAGTTGTTTATTGTAAATCATTATCATCAGCTTATTAATGTCCCCACTGCTGGGGTACAGGCCTTCCCTATGGATGGAATAGGGAGTTTGGGCTATGACCCACTACGCGGGCTCAGTACGGATTGGCGGGTGCTAACGAATGCAGATGCAGCCGGGACCTTAACAGCTTAACGTGCCTTCCGAAGCACGAAGGAACTCGAGATAGATTTCTGAAGATACCTGGTCACCCATCCAATGACCGCAAACCACGTGCGCCATAGAGTTCCTCTCTATCAATTTGAATACAGAGGCCGTATTAGGAACTCTTAACACCATCACCTTTCAACATGTTTACAAAAGGGTATTTGACAAGTTTTAGAAAACGATCTGACGTTATTGACTAATGTTTATGGAGTCCGTAAAAAGTGGATATTCATCATTCTATTGCGTATTTCAGCAAAAATAACCAAATCAAAAATCAAAATCCATTTTCAAGTTGCCGCGAAAACGTTTTTCTGGACAATATGGCGTCTTACTAGTGTGTGACGACACACGACTGATATGAAAACGTCAAACGATACAATATAATGTCACTGTAACTGGAAGTTTACTTGCGTGTGACGTCATTTTAGGCTCCGCCAATCCCAAGCGTTTTGGGTCACGTGACAATAGATAAGAAAACTATTATCTTTTTGTGAGTTTTTAGTAAAATTATGTTTTTTTTATTGTAAAAATAGTAAAAACCCCTGCCAATATTCATTCTAATACATTCGTCTTGGTATTTGTTAAGGAAAGTGCCTTGATTGGAGTAAGGCATACCGTTTCAATCGCTGTTTTTTCTGCCGTTAAATATGTTATATCTCAACAACATATCAGTTAAATGTATATTTTTTTACTAGATGTAAAGGCATTTTTTTTTCTATGCTGTTTTTAAATAATAAAAGCTATTTTGATTAAGAAATTCAGAACAGGCGCTAGGTAAACATTTTTGGATTATCAAAGAAGTTGTTTTATATGTTTATTTTAGATGCTAGGACGAGTACGATGAATAAAATGATATTAAATATCAGTCAAATATATAGGTAATTAAAACTGTGTCTCATTTCACTCACTGTAAAGTGTAATCCCAGAAGACACAGGCCGGGTTAGTGACGTTTTCCGTCTTCAAATGTTTCATAATGAGGTGAACCATTTGCGATAGTTGAATATGACGACCGTTTCCAAGGCTTGCTGATATCACCTGCGAGAAAAATGTATAAATATTTGAACCTATGATTTAAGATAAAAACATTATGTAGTGTAATGATACCCACTGGTCATATATAAGGTAGTAAAGGTATGAGTTGAAGTGATCAGAAATGAAAATCCAAGTTTATATCTATCTAAACCAGTCACCTAGGTAACCTTTGATACAAGTATAAAAAAATATTACTATACAAAACCGTTTCCTAATCAAATATTCATCTTCGCTACTCCGAAATTCCGAGTCCTTTTATTGAAGTTAATTTATAATCATTGTGTAGATTCTCAAAAATTCCAAACCAAACGTATACCGTGTTTTTCAATTGAAAATGCCTCTTCCGTTTGGAAAAAAGGTCTTAAATCACGCATTATGTATCTTATTATAACTATTCACTGTCTTCCAATAGCAATTGATGTTACATTGTTTTTAATATATTTTAAAATATCCAAAATCTCCATCGAATCGACCTGGAGGCCTACTCTAATTCAACGAAACACAAAATTTCGATCGAAACTTCGCACTCTTCTTCCTATGTTTCCGGTTCGTTTTTAATTATAATAATATTCGTCGTCGGAATATGGATTGAGGTGAAGATTTCTCAGCCTACTCAAAGAAAGCTTCAATTTAATAGTTTATCGTTCAAATTAAGTATAACCTTAAATTGACGAAATTAAATTTCGTTTAAACTTCGTTATCAAAAGTTCGTTTCGGAGAAAGAGAGTAGACCTCCTGAATTCGATAGAATAAAGATAAGACAGGCAATATTAATTATTATTCCTCTTACCTTAGAGTTCAGAACCCTGGTAACATTCCTCTTCTCTCTCTCAGAGTTTATGCTGTTAGTTGAAGTGACCGGATCGGTGGAGAAGGCGGCATACTGAGGGTTCTTGATGAAAGTAGGCGGTAAGATTTGTTCGAGACGATCGAACGCGAAGAAAACTATGCGCACTAGATCGTTTTGTCGGTTATCTGAGGAAAAAGTGATAAATTATAGTTTTTTAAAATATAACAAAATGGATCCGGCTCGAAGGACCAAGAAAAAAAAACACTTTAGAAGAATTCTTGTGGATGTAGTGATAAATTGTTTTTTTTTTATGCTAAAAGGATGGCAAATTAGCGAATGACCCGCCTGATGGTAAGCGGCTACCATAGCCTATAATAGACGCTTGCGATACCAAAAATAATACTCTCATGTTGCCTACCCCTGCACAATCCCCTACCCCGTGGAGCTCTGGAACCTTACTCAGCCACAATTACACACCACCACCAAAAAGAAGTGCTATTTTACTGTGATCTAGTGTATAGTATAGCGGAGTAAAGCGGCTATACTATACTTCTATTTAATGTTTTAAACAAAATATCAAATGATCCGGCTCGAAGATCCAAGTTAAATTTTCAGTTTAAATTAATCTTATGGTTTTATCTATTGATATAAAACAATGATCTTTTATGATAAGCAATTTCTTATTGTATTAAAACTGTTATAGTGACAATTAATTTCTTCATATTATAATCAGTTAATAATGGCAAAGTCTTACCCAATAATGCAGCTTTTGGAATTGTAATTGTGTCTTCTGATGCTGTCCACTGGTCTTGAGTTATAGGCGGCGGAAACGTCTCGTCCTCAACGTTCTTTACTTCTAGAACCCTGACTGACAGACCTTCACGAAAGAGAAAAAAGATGATTACAGTTTAATTAATAAAGGCACTAGTTATTCAGTTAGATATACGTTTTGGAATTGGCAAATCAGTAGGTGATTATATAAATGGATTCAATATATTCAGGACTATTAAGGATTCGAATAACTTAAATTTATCAGTTGCTCTGAGTTCCTTATGTTCAACAAACAAAAGTCATTTATAAACTTTGCTCAATCGAGATCACATTTTAAACATACATAGATATATATACTTACAGATATTCTTGACAATCTGCAATATAGTTTTTTCTTTGGTAACAGCGTCTGCTAGTAGAAATGCGTTTTCTTCTAGTTGAGTCAGGAGGGCACTCGCTGCTCTGTTCTGTGCTTCGGGGCTTAAGTCCGCCCAGGATGCTCTTTGGCTTTCTTCTAGAAGATTGGATCCTAAAAGAAAGCAACAAAAAGAACTCAGAAAATTCATAACGATTCTTGGTTTTTAAAACTTGTCAAATAAGTAGATACTTTTATGATTAGTTTACGAGATTGACAGGAATATTTCTGTTTAAATTAGATTCTCTACAATAGAAGTAGAATTAGTAGAAAAAACTTCTGCTTTCAGATATGCCGCTAAAACGTTTCTCTAGGTAAAACGGCGTGTTTACCTATGTGTGACGTCACACGGGTGTCATTTAAACGTTAAAAGCGGCGCGAGCTGAGACATTCGAGAAATAGGTATTTGAAAAAACTATTGCTGTCACGCATTGGCAAATACTCTGCGATAGAGACAACAGTAGTTAATGCTGCAAATTGCTTATAAATTGCAAAATTCGAGGTTGGTTCTCGACGATTTCTTCCTCGAAAATTAGATATATGTAAAATAAATTTTGCCCATAGAATAATAAGTAGTTACTGCTTCTATGTTTTCTTTTTTTTGTAAATGCTTACACTAGAATGTCCTTAGTGGTGATATTTTTTTTTTATTTTTGTCATTTTTGAGGGCTTCTAGTTACTTTGAATCACAAGTTATTGAAAAATGAAGACAAAAGAGCATAAAATGAGTCAAATTATATTTTATGTATGAAATTCAATTCTTTACTGATAAAAATCAAGGAGAACGTTTGTAAACATTGCCTGCTACCCCTTCCAGTTTACGAGTGTGTGACTTCAGTCTAGGCTCTGCTAATCCCAGGCAATTTTGGTCACGTGAAAATAAATTAAAAAACTATTATCTTTTCCGTGGGTTCTCAGTATTTTTTTTATATTTTTTCTGTAAAAATAGTTAAATGTCATTTACCCTATTCTTCGGATAATTATCATGACTTTACCTGTCTTTATCACTCCTAATAGCATGTCAGTAACAATCGCCTCCCTCTGCCTTGGGTCCGGGAACGTCTGGACGTTGTGAGACATCCTTTGGGCCAATTTCTTCATTATCGTGGTGGTCGTCATCATGTCGCCCCCGTATAACGTCTTGGATGACGTCACCTGGACAATGAACGGAATTTACAAACGGATCTGAGATGGCATTAACATTTTTGGTGTTACTACAAAAATTGTCGGGCGTTCAACACGAGTTATAGAAGAAAATGAAATACAAAATTCGTTTATAATTTAAAACACTTCATGAAACTGGCCAATGGATCTTCTTTTGTTTCAGTAATAGTAAAGGGTTTTTTTATATACCTATATAAAAAAAACCCTTTTTACTAATTGGTTGTAGAATGATAATTGGTCAGTGCATTCGCCCGGATTGCGAAGGGTGCGGGTTCGAGTTCCGTCTGCTGCCTGGTTTGCGTGGATTTTTTTCTAGTTATATTTTCTTTAGATTTAAACATCAAGCAGTTACATGCTTTAAAATAATAAAAATTATAAAGATAACGTTAGCTAAAATATACTCTATTAACGGACACGATCTAGTAGTACCGACGAAAGTGAAGCTTTTCTGTAATTGGTCGGATTATATTGCCGTCATTACACCAGCCAATGACAGTGCTCTTCCAAGCGTATGTACAGTTTTTTAAAAGGTTTGTGTGATAAAGAAAGCGTTCCACAAAAGGGCCATTCACTAAACTTAAATCTGCGCATTTTGGGCTAGCTGCTTCTAAACCATCATAAAGGTTGAATATATAAAATAAGGTTAAATATTTACCTGTGCTAGGTCATTGCTGATGCTGAGCAGCGACTCTCCCTCTCTAACCCTCGCTTCTAAGCTGTTGAGCCACACTGAGCGACACTCGCTCAGATCTGGGGTTGCACCGAGCCATTCGGGTGCTGTAGAATCCGCTGTAGAAAAACAGTACAATTTCATTAATGAAAGTATATCAGTTTATTTTTCTTACGATAAAAAGTATGGTTATCCATCCAACGTAGCCAGATTTCTCTTTTGAACAAATCAGAATTTTAAAACTTTTTGAGTGAAATTGTCGAATGATTTCTAATTCGTGTTAATCTAATGCTATGTGCATGAACGTAATAGCATCGCATATCGTACGTACGTATGTTATGAGTAATCCTGTAAAGTAGGACCAAGGACAATTAATTTGGGCTAAAAATCCGAACGTTTGGCAAAACTGGACTTATCTAAGAATTCTTTCTGCCCACCCAAAACTCAAGTGTTGAAAAATGTATTTGCAGTTTAAAATAATCAGAATGAATGTTAGAACATCTGGACGACAGCGACTTGGGCAAATAATAACTACGCTAATGGAGATGACGCACTCTTACCTAGAAGGAACCTTTCACTGGCGATTTGAATAGACCGAGTCGTTTACGGATATGTATTTAGGTAATGTAATAAAGAATACTTACGGTAACTGTAGTCCGGGTTCGACGGATGCTGACTGGATGCTTGCGCGTCCGGCAGACTCGACCCGCGGTAGTCAATCAAATGTTCCGGGGAATCCCCGTCGCGACCTGACCCAATAATAATGAATGTAAAACCGGCGCTAATAATGAAACGAATGTCATAATAATGAATTTATTATATATAAATGGTACCAATAAAGCAATGAATCGAAAACAACAAGGTAAGTATGTTTCTATTCTATTCGCACAGCTAAACGTGTTAGGAATAATGTGCGAGATGGATATAAAGTCTTGTGTGACCATTTAGTTTCTTTATTGGTGCGAATTTTACTATTAAATGCTTTTCATTTCTTTAGATTTATTATTTTAAATGTTGCTTATATGGTAAAAGTTGATTATATAAATAGGCACAATGACCACAGTCCACAAAAAAAATAGTGGACTTTTTAAGACTGACAATTTATACACAATTTTGCACAACTTCTACATACAAAAAAAGAATCTAGTTATATTTTCTTTAGATTTAAACATGAAGCAGTTACATGCTTTAAAAAATAAAGATTGTATAAAGAAGTAAATGTAAGCAAAATGTCTTTCAGAGACGTCAGATAACTTTTAAGTTTTGTTGAAGATTTTGATGTAACTTTCTTCTATTTAAAAGTCGAATAAGACAACACTTGACTTAATCAAGCATTAATATAAAGTATCGTCTATCAGTTGGCTATGATTAGATATTTACCTTTCAGTAACGCCTCAGAACCGAGCCTCCTTATAAGCTGTATTTGCCTATCATTAGGCTCTAAGCCCAGGTCGTGGTAATTCTCCCCTGATTGTAACCCTGATCCTCTTCTTCTTGGAACTCTGCGCTCTTCTTCCGTATAATGGTGAGGGTTGAGGGTACACCTGGACAAATAAATGATAAAATATAGTTATGTTTTAAGTTTTAAAGCATTTAACTGCTACATGTTTAAATCTAATCTGCCTTGCAGCATAAGGCTAGAGAAAGTTCGTGACGGCCGTCAGGGCCGCGGTAGCATAATGATCAGTGCATTCACTCGGATAGCGAAGGGTGCGGGCTCGAGTCCCGTCTGCTGGCTGGTCCGAGTGGAACTTTTTCTAGTCAACTTTTCAAAATATAGTGTCCGTTTTTAGGTACACGTGTTGTGTTTAAATGTAACGCCATCTGGCGTCATATTTATTTACACTCATATCATTTAGCCTAGCCTCAACGTCAGCTTGCGCTACTGTAATAGCGCGATTAAACTTGGTCATTAGCCCGAAAACGAGTGCCAGTGGAATTCGGGTAAATGACTAAGTGTAAATGAGCAGAATCGAGTGCACCCGTACTCGGGTAGATTTCGTTTTGTTTAGCCGTCACCGTCTTTCAGCCGGTTTTCCAGTGTTAATATTGCTTGCCCGAATTCGAGTAATGTCTTTCGTGCACCCAATTACGGATTAATGGACAAATTTTATTGTAGCATAAGGCCTGTGTTGGGGATACTAGGGTAACATATAGTATACTTATCAAGAAATATATATAAACATCCACGACTTGCATGCTCATTAATTTATCATACAAATATTTGCCCCAGGGATCGAACCAGGGACCTCTGAGTAGGAGACACCTTGAAACACGGCGTACATACCACTCGCACCATGGAGGTCGTCAATAAATCACAAGACATAGCGTCTTTTCCCAAGAACACACATTAAAAAGTTTAATTCTAATGAAAATATAACGCCATCTGGCGACAAACTTTGCTTTGCAGACTTTTGAATTCTTGTCTTTGCTTTTCTCAGGTGGTATTTGATCAAGTTCAAATTTTCAAATTCAAACTTATTTATTCAGTCTAGACTTACAAGCTCTTGTGAAAGTCAAACGCTACGCCATCGATTCGTAAATCTACGGCGGGAGACCTTGTACAGAGAAGAACCGGCAAGGAACTCAGCAAGAGCTATTTTTTGCCCTGTTTTGTTTCATACAGTGTCGTCAATTGAAAGATGACATCATGATCAATTTAATAAATTTGAATCACTATGTACTCACTTCCACCTCGCCAGTCCAGTGGCGCCACCCGGGCAAGGTTGGAGTGCGTAACTTCCGGCCACAGTCCAGTTCCAATCTAAACCTCTAGCTGTGATCGGGGGGCAATACGACCGCCTTCCAAGTGGAGGTGTTGGGTTCGTTGCTGAAATAAACGATAACAAAATCAACATTTAAGACTTTCATTTTAGGTTTGTTACTGAAAGAAAAAATTAAAATCAATATTTCTGGAGATTCAGGGCTCTATTGGTGGTGATATTGGGAGCATTTTCCAATGATTCATCTATTTCTATTCTCAAGAAATGTATTATTGATGCAGATTTATAACAAGCGCGCAGTCAAGCCACTAGACGTAGTCACGGCTGTATAAAATCTTTATTTAATATTTTCTTTTATATTTTGATAAGGTATGCACTTGGCTTTCTTTATAATCTTTGATTATTTCAATACAAAAACATGAACTTAGTAGCTAAATACTATTGACTGGAGAATGGATATATATAGATTAAAGAATATTGTTCATTAGACTATACTTACAGTATCCCTTGTCGAAGTCGTCTTCGCTGTCTGCATCGGGTTTGATGTCTTTCGGTGGTTCTTGAACGGGAGGTGATGAGTCTGCGTCTTCGTCTTTCACCGGCCATTGCATCGACTCTTCAGTTGGTGCTGCAATAATGAAATGAATAAAAAATACTCTGACTGCCTCAGATATTATTAAATTTCCAGTACTCATTTTTTAATTTTATGAGATAACTTCGGAAAATTAAATAAATGATAAATAAATAAATAAATATTTCCAACATTCACACCAATTAGCCTAGCCCCAAAGTAAGCACTATAAGGCTTGTGTTATGGGATACTAGGGTAACGGATAGAATACATATACTTTACATATATAAGTATATTTATATAGAAATACATATTAAACATCCATGACTGGAGTACAAATGCTCGTGTTCATCACACAAATATCTGCCCCCACCGGGATTCGAACCCGGGACCTCTCGAGTCGGTGACGCCATGAAACCCGGCGTACAAACCACTCGGCCACGGAGGTCGTCATTCTACGAAAGGAAAAGAAGATAAATCTACCATGGTATCATGAGTCAGGCATTAGTTGCAAGGGCTAGAATAAAACTTCAATGGAAGATGATCTGCTAACAATGTCTGTTTGTGGGGTGAACGTTTTAAGGAAAGAGATGATTAACATGGTGTCGTAACAAGAAGTTTAGTAAATGTTGGAAATAAGAATTAAATGAAAACCGATCGTCTATTATTTAAAAGCTATAAAATATATAGATAAAAGTTCAATGAATCTCAACAATTACGAGAAATTGCTACTTGTTAAATTGTACTGGTACGAAAGAAAAATTAGACACCAATCATATAGAAGGTGAAGAGAATTTAAAACAATTGAATCTCACCATTTTCGTCCTCTTTATTCGGTTTGTCGTTCCTGGAGCCCGTGTCTGGTTCTATAGATTTGGGTATTTCGTCTTTGACGTCCGGTATCGTCTCCCGAGGAGTCTGTGGTTCTTTCTCCGAGGACGAATCCGGTTGTCTGGTGGTCGGCTTCTGGAAATGATTAGGAGTGTTATAATTTTAGAGGTTGAAATGAAAATACTGCTAACTGATTATATTAAAATGGTTATTCGAGAAATAAACAAAAGATATACGACCTGAATACAGGCGGTGTGATCACTGTGAGCTTGTTTCTCTCTTCCTGTTAGACTTGCACCGGGTTCTTGAGTTGTGGATTGTTCTTCAACATTTTTTAAAAGTACCTTTTTACCAATATCCCCTAGTTTGACCTTTGATGGCAAGGTGATATATGGCCTGAATGTAGGAGTGTCATCACTGTGGGCTTCTTCCTCTCTCCCTACTGAATTTGCACTGGGTTCTTGGGCTGTGGAATGTCTTCAAGTATTTGTAAACGTACCTTTGTACCAATATCCCCTAGTTTGACCTCAGGCGGCAGAGTGATATGAGGCCTGAATGTAGGCGGTGTTATCACTGTTGGCTTCTTCCTCTCTCCCTGCTGGACTTGCACCGGGTTCTTGGGCGCAGGAGGGGCTGTGGACCTCCATACTGTTGGCTGCGAGGTGATCAGCCATGGGGGTGACGGTCTGTTGGTGGTGCTAGTCGTTGACGCTGTAATGTGGTGATAGGGACTTTAGATTTTTTTTTGTTTCCTCACACAATGTATGATATATTAAACAATAGTTAGTGAGTAGATAGTGGAATGTTGATGGCGTATTAGCGTTAGCGCAAGTAATGTAAGTTGATGTAGGCATGCAAGGGATGCCACTGAACTGAAACCTGAAGTTTGAATCGCACTATATTAAAGTTTAAAGAGAGGTGGCCCATCTGGGTAGTAACCTCCAACAAGTCGTCTGTAACGACTACAGTAACACTGCCTTTTGGCAGTGTTGTATTTCTGTCGCTGAGTAAAGTTCCAGGGCTCCACAGGGTATAGGATTGGGTCCAGATAGGCAACGGTGCAAGTGATATTTTTTGGCTGTAGTGGTCGCATACCATCAGGCGAGCAATATGCATGTTTGCCACCCTTTTTAACATAAAAAAACGTTTATTTTGCTTACCTGGTACACACTGGTAATGCGCCTCTAGATATTTCAATGTGTTCGGACACGGATCGCCAAAGACGTTCGTGCTTGCTAATATACTACAGTTTTGGTGCATGCTGCATCTGTGAAAGAAATGAAAAAGGCAATTAGAATCATGGTTTCAAACCCATAGATACAGAGAAACTAGGACTGGGCGTTGCCTAACCAACTGTCATCACATCATCATCACCCGGTGGACGTCCACTGCTGGACATAGGTCTCCTCAAAGGATTTCCATACATAACGGTCCTGTGCAACTGTCAATTGAACTGGGCAAATGAATGTAAGAGAAAAAGCTATCGGGCGGCACATAGTTCGTTTATATATTATTTGTTTTTTCTTACTTTCTAAAGAGTTGGAAGTCTGTGGTCAAACCAAAAGGCTCAGATCAACGAAGATATAGCTATTTCAGTTCTACTCAAACCATTTACAAAAGTAGTTAAGCTGCTAATATAATTGCGAAGACTAATTACCGCTTACTAATTATTACAACGTATAGGTATAACTTATGGAATAATAATCTTAGAAATAGGTTGAAACTGGGGGAACTTTGAAACTAAGATTAAAACTGAGGGAGAAAGAAACTTTACCAAAATAGCCTCTTTTTGTCAAAATATAGCTAAAATAAACAATTGCTAATCAGATTTATTTCCAAAATCATGATTAACAACATTCGTCAAATATAAACAAACATCTTTAGTATCACAATGTGTCTACACTTCTCGGTTTGCTTAACCTTATGATGAAAAACCTAATGCCGTCATGCGTAATGCCAGACGATCAATCTAGGCGCCATTTCCCCGAATTAGCTTTAGGGTTGTCATTACATATACTTTAGATACTGTATTTAACAAAAAAAAACTTCGCACGTTTTAAAAACTAATCCAATATTGATACATCTTCTCAATCTTTACAATGATTTAGATTGTAATGTCTGTAAAGCTGGCATTAAAATTATGAAATAATAATAACTAAAAGTACTAGTAAAATGACAGGTATGAAGCTCACTAATGTATGTTTTTTATACTTTAGTAACTGACACTTTTGAGCATTTAATAACGGAATTCGGTTTTGAGGCTAGCGGAGAAATATGTGATAGTTACAATTAATATTCTGCTACATTTCATAAAAATAGTTTGACACAATTATAAATTTAGAATATTTTTTTAAAGTCACTCGACTATTAAGCCGGAGAATATATTCGATGGGAATTTGTAAATGCACTTAATGATACAATAACCTAATCCTCCCTGAATCCGTGTACTAAATATTAGATGTTTTTGATATTTCACATCATAAATGTCCACAGAACTTTAGGAGATATTAAAACTGCGTCATTACCATCCGTTTTACATAAGCGTGACATCCCTGCGCGGAGGGGTAACGTGCAGTTTATTGGCAATCTCGCGCGGCTAACACGATAAACTTCGGTGCGGCGAATATTTAATTTTCGGCAATTTTCGGCCGCTTTCGGCAATCGTCGAGGACATGACGTCAGAGATGGTGACGCGTGACAAAGAATCAATGAGTTAGTAAAGGTCATTGCTAAAATAAATAAAATTTCTAACACGCGAGTGTTACACTATTAATTTCCTGGTGAAGAGGAAAGAGCTGGGGGCTAATCGCCTAACGGAAATTCTTTGGAAAACGCTAACGCTTACGATTTCATTTTGTTATTTCTAGCCGCCTGGATGGCCTGAATGCAAAAGAAATCAAAGAGCGCGAGGCACTTGGAAACGTTCGGCGCCACAACCCAGACATGAGAACAGTTCTCCAAATATATTACATATTTTATACGTGAAAACTTGTTATTGGCTAGTAGTTAACTAAATTATCAAATTTAGTTAATTACTAGCTAGCTAATGGTATCTACCATGAATAAATAATAGCTGTAAGTTTTCCGAAGACATAAAAATTAAATAAATTTAATATGCGGCCGAACCTGTGCTTTTGAAATCATTAACCGGTGTTTAGGCTTAAAGTGCATGCTCGCTTTATTAAGCACCCTAAGTTTTTTGTAAGCTTGTTTGGCTTTTGCTTCCAAATGATCTCGGAATTGCACTTCATTCGAATATGGACTCCTACAATCCTAATAACTTATAGATTTTGAGGAGGTTGTCCTGGAAATAAGATGATGCTACGAATGAGGATTTTTTCGCGATAAACGCACACTTGTGTCTTTATCGGCTTGTGTCCTAATCATCATCATCCGCCTATGTTTGTCCCCACTGCCAGGGCACAGGCCTTCCCTATGGATGGAATAGGGAAGATTGGGCCATGACCCACCACGCGGGCCCAGTGCGGATTGCCAGCCGGGACCAACGGTTTAACGTGCCTTCCGAAGCACAGAGGGGCTCGAGATAGTAAATTTTTGGTCACCCATCCAATGACCGACCACTGCGAAAATTGCTTCATTTCAACAATCGCAGCCGAACGCACTTGCGGCATCGAGCTCCTCAAGCTCCTGTGTCCTATTAAAGCTGACAACATTTTGTCGGCCCGAATTTGAGGTTTGATCCAGTAACGTCTTGATCAGACAATTTTTTTTCTCTACACTCCTTTACTTAGGTATATTTGACCGACCAGTGTAAAAAAAGTCGCCAGTGCTTTCAATTAATGTTGTTGTTAGTTACCAACAATTATAAAACAAGTTTCAACGGGTGAATGCACTGTGTTTTTTTATTTATAGACGTTTCGCAGCCTTTGCAGGAATGCGTCGTCAAAAGTTGTCCCTGCAAAGGCTGCGAAACGTCAATAAATAAATAAAATCAGTGCATTTAACCCGTCTTGTTTTATTTAATAAGTGATGTACGTGAAAATCTTAGAAACAAATAAATTATTTATACGTAAAATAAACAGCGTGGGCGACAGAACTGATCCTTGTAGGACACCAGCATTAATGGGTTTGAATTCAGAAGAGATGCCGTCAACTAAGACTCGTATGCTGTTTTCTGTCAGAAATCTGGCAATCTGTCGCAGAACACGCAGTCTCTCCTTTGTTATTGACATTACAAAGACAACTAAAAGGATTATTTGAAACTTCAGTTACAGACTTACTTCTATAGTTATATGTAGAACAATAATACAATACAATAAGTATTTAATTAATTAGACCCCAGATTTAAGTAGAGGAAGCTTAAAAAATTATTACCAACATTATAATAACAAATTAAATCGTAATTGGAGGTAATAAAAGACTTGTTTATTTTAGAGACTGTCGCCATTAAAGTGTCTAATTGAGAGGGGTAATGTTTTAAAAATTATTTAAAAAAAACATAACTTAATATGTTGTATGATTGCTTCCGTGGAATCATTTTACTCAAAACATATTAAACCTTAAGTTATGGATACAGGGCCCAAAATTACGTACCCCTATTCAATGTACGATGTGGTATGTCAGATGGAACACTTATCTCAGATTACGATAACAAAACTCGATTTGCTGTAACACCAGGAGACTGTCAATTAATTACCTGTATGAAGTCATCCTGATGTGTTATCTGTAAACTCCAATACAGGAGTCAATGACCTTTTAACAGATGAATCAACCTATGTATATTTATAGTAGTCAAAAACTATAGCTTTATTTATAATCAAAACATGGTTTAATGATGCTACGAATTAGTTAAGAAGATTTTTTTAACTACAAAAATTTATAAATAATAGAGGAAAATGACTTTCATTCGTATATCGTAAATTCAAAAGTTGATACGGCATGTATGACTTTAAACGATATTAATTATTATGATTGTTACAGAATCGCGTCACAGAGTTGTACCCTGATGTTAATCCTTATCAATTTCTTTTACATTAGCGACGCACCCCGGATTTGCATAGGGGGAAATTATGTCGCCATAAAATGTAGCCTGTGTCGTTCAGGAATAATGTAGCTTGTTACTGGAGAAATATTTTTCCAAATCGGTTTAGTAGTTGTTGAGGGCATATAAATCTTCTCTATTTATAATATTAGTATATATTGATGACAATTTACACTCTCATACACCAGATATCGAGTTTTCTTACGAATTTCCTTAATTTAAGTAGAAGCTACAAAGTTTATAAAGTACCTGCTATGTAAAACGCGCAAACTCCTCGTGGACATGCAGTTGACACTCCAGTCGATGTTGCCGTGGTCGTTGCATATTGTGATGGAGAACCTGCCGTAGTTAGCTCTGATGAGGTGGATCACGGAGCCCTCGGAGCAGCCTATCTTGAGGGTCTTCCCCTCGCACGCGTACGCCGTCTCGTATCTGGGTTCTGGAATCAAGAAAAAAATGATAAGTTTAATTTTTTTTGATTTTTGACAATATGAGTCAAAACGTTTTTTACATTATGTTACGAAAGTTTTATATTTAAAAAAGAAAAGGCTGTTTAATTAAAAAATAAAATAGTTTGTTTACAAACTGCTGAAGCACGTTTTTTGGAAAGACCAAGTATTATTTTTAATTATTCAACATTCCAATGTAATCGATGATATATTATAAACTATCAATGAATGCAATGAAATTATCATTTATTCAAATAGATTTATTGGAGGCTCTTTTGAATCGTCCAATATTTTTTTCCTATCACCCATTTAGGACATCCTTTAGCTGAACACACCATGACATGAGATCTTTTGAAAGAAATAGCACCATTTACATAAAATCATGTCGCTACAATACAACAACCACTCACATTTTCACTGCTGTGTCATACAGTTTAAATACAAATAGTATTTATATCAGGTATAATCAATATTCGATTAAGTATTATATGAAGAAAAGTGTAGTGACACCATTGGTTGAATGCAACAGCAATATAAGGTCTTTTCGCTTGCGTTTCACTTTTTAATTAGAGAAGGATATCGTTCTACGTATTGTGCGACTAAAATGTCGTAATCTAACAACACTTAGTGTCAATAAGGCATCTAATCAGGGTTGATTAATTAATTTTTGTTAATATGCCTACTAAAAGCGGTCTTTCGTAGCGAGCGTCAGCGACGCCGCGACAGAGCGTCAGATGGAAATTCTATGCAAATGTCAATGTCAGCGTCGGTCAAAGCGGCACTTATAATGTCATTTGCAATGAAATTCTATCTGACGCTCTGTCACGGCGTCACTGACGCTCGCTACGAAAGCCCACCTTCTAAAGAGAGTCATACAAAAAGGTGGTCAATCGCGACTGCTTAATAAGGCGACATATACTAATGGCGCAAACAACATTCACCATGTTTCTCACCATCGCATTGGAGAGAAATCTCTTTGTCATCACCTCATAGGACCGTCAACAATTGCGAACACCCCGTGGGGAATAGCACACGCAACCCCTGTCTGTTGTTGATACAATAAAAGAACAAAATAAACAGACACAGAAGTTCCGCTCGTGCCAATTTGGTATGAAAAGTTCTACTTCAAATAATTGCGCCAGAGTTGTCATTTTCAAGTCTTAGTAGTAAAAATATGCGCTTATTAATCACACGTTACGCAAAATCAATGCATCAGTGCATCTATGGATCGCGAGAGACAAATACGCTGCAAAATTAAAGTTAGAATGTAGATTGCCAACCTTCATTGTGGAGTGGTATGTATGTGGAGGTTTTTAAGTTGTCACATACTCCAGACGTCTTGGGCTGGGCTGGGCTTGAATCCCGGTGGGGCAAATTTTTATATGTCGCAAACGAGCATTTGTATCTAAGTCATAACGGTTTTGGCTATACATATTTTCTTCTACATAATATACATTTATCTAATTTATCATTATTATATATTTCTATCCGTTACCCTTAGTGATTACTTTGGGGTAGGTTAATTTGTGTGACTGTAACAAATACAATACATTTATTTAATTATTTTGTCCGATTTTAATGACATGACTAATCAAAAATGCTTATATACTCGAACTATTGAATACTACGTTTGCGTGCGACTGTTTGTTTTCTTTAGAGCTGGCCCTCTGTGTCCGTTTATTTCATGTTGAAGGGTTCGTCAAATAGTGCCTGCCTGCTGCCTACATTCCCTCTGGTCCACGCGTCTGTCCGCCGCCCTAGTTTTCGCCGATTTCGCTCATGGCTCGAATTGATTATATTATGAAACGTCGAGTCATCACTTCTCTGCTCCGATCGTCGTGCAATTTCGCCCGGTTCCCTGCATCTGTACCTTTCATTTTCATTATCTAATATCGTTTATTTGTGACTGGTCTCTTTTGGTGTTTCCGTGCTAGACTAGTCACAAAAAATATAAAAAACTAGGTTTTTTATATAAGGCGAAATAAATTATTTCATCTGATCTTAAGTGTAGGTGGAAGCAGTCGCGAAGATAGATGATGCGGTAGAAAGTGTGTCGCCATCCTCACCTTGCCGGCCTGATCGTGATCTCCTACCCTGTGGAGCCCTGGAACCCTACTCAATAGCAGAAACGAAACACCACCAAAAGGTACTGTTATTTTACTGTGGTCTTCTGTAAGGTGGAAGTTGCTTCCCCAGACGCGCGCTCCAATTCGAGCGGAAAGCTGCTATGCCCTTTCTCTCTTCAACGTTTCTGTTTTTTTACTTCCTATAGAGCTGGCCTTCTGTGTCCGTTTATTTCGTGACGAAGGGTTCATCAAATAGTGCCTGTCTGCTGCCTACAGTCCCTCTGGTCGCCGTGTCTGTCCGTCGCGTCTGTCCGCCGCCCTAGTAGTCACCGATTTCCCTCACTGGAATTGATTATGAAATGAAGAGTCATCATTTTCTGTTTCGATATTCGTGTGATCTCGCCCGTTTCCTGCATCTGTACCTTTCAATTTCCTTATCTAAATATCGTTTGTTTGTGATGTGACTGATGAGTTTTGGTCATTCCGTGCTTGGTTGGTCTCAAAAAAATTTGTTTATCAATTATTTATGAACAATCGACTAGGAAGTGGTTGGAGATGGGCTGGCGACGTCATGTCATATTATTGTTCAGGCAGTGCTAATGAGATATAGTTGAGTAATTGTTTTTCTTTACTCAAAGTACTTTTTGTTGTTCCTCTCCTATCGGCGGTTGGGTGGACAACATGGCTATTTCCGAGAGCTGCTGTTCGAAGAAGTGTCGTGTTACCTCAAAATCATACCCTCAGGGTTTGTAACTAGGGTTTTTACGCCTTCTTCCAATGCTGCCTTTGTCAGCTATTTCTCTTTGAATTATAAGCTGGAGACTTTGATCATGTATAAGCCTAAATAGGCTCATGTTTCGCGCGATGTGTGCGTGATTCTAATGTCAAATTGTAGAAATGCAGTCAATGTGTGCGTGTGTAGCGACGTGCATATCAACCATACTTAGAAGATATTTTTGTGCCGCTTCCGTGCAGTCAATACAGTAGGTATCTAGGGTGTATATAATCAAAGGCCGGGGAGAAGAAAAGAGAGAGAGAGAATGAAAATATTTGGTTTATCAAGTCACATCTTCAAAATACTTATGTATGTCAATTTACACTTGATAGTAAGGATAATCTCTAGATTATTTCCCGTTCTTCTCGAATGACAGAGAAGACTAATCATCACACCTATCGTAACATATCACTGTTTGCTAGCTAGACAATCGCCTAATGTGGTGTGAGCACGCAATGAATGAAAAGACAGGAAGATTTATTGTTATAATAGATCTCCCGAATAAGACTAAGTTGGACGAGGCGAGAATAGTAGTCTTCTTATTTACGAAAGCATAGGAAAAATGTTTGCTTTTGGACCGCAGCAAGAAAAAAGTCACTTGTTTATAGTTATTTCTTTTAAAATAAAACTTTTTACCTATACCGATTTCCCGAAAGACTGGAATTATAGAAAAGTTTCTAGCCGATTCTTTATATCCCGCTCGGCATTATTCCAAATGGACATATTATCGCTTGAGATAATATTGAACCATTGGTGTTCGGGTCAAAGTTGAGTTACGTACAGGCAAAATTTTGTGTTCTTTCGTTTTCCATTTACCGAATCGTTCAGTAAGGGTGTCCAGTATTTCATTCATAGTAATGGCCTGCGCCCCAGCAGAGGGGATATAAGAAGTATGGTTATGACACCAAGGATGCTAACCTTGGTCCATATACGGAACTCTTACCTTCGTACTCTGAATTTAGATCAGTCATCTACTAAGTGTGCGATATTATATCATCTTAGAATTAACGGATGACGGGCCGATAAAGACCTTGTCTTTCCTATAAACTAATATATAAAATTCTCGTGTCACGGTGTGCGTAATCGAACTACTCCGAAACGGCTCGACCGATTTTCGTGAAATTTTATATGCATGTTCAGTAGGTCTGCGAATCGGACAACGTGTATTTTTCAACCCTCTCATATTAAGGGTGGTCCACCCTTAAATTTTCTGTATTTCGGATTTTTTTTTGTTTTTATTTTTTTATGATACATACAACCCTAAATTTTCACCCTACTACCACCGACCCCTATTTTTTTATGGCGGTACGAAGTTCGCTGGAACAGCTAGTAGTATATAGAGTTCTGTAAACTTCTGTCTTTTGATATGATTTTACCTCTCTGCTTAAAAAAAAAGCAGCTTGAGCTTTCTATATTTTATTTTTGTTCTTATACCTTGTAGGGAGGCTCTACGTAGTTTATAATTATAAAAAGATTCCGTTCCTTATTATAAGAGCGACGGTGTAGGTCGTTCGATTGGTAATAACAACGTCGGTGTTGCTAGCATATAATAAATCTGGCCAATGAGCGTTGGGTCGGACAGATCGTTTAGTTTTCCGCAAGTCACGCCGGGAAACGAGCCTTGTTCTGGCCCGAGATAAGTGGGGGACGGTTATTGTATGCAAGCGGGCCTTGCAAGGGGTTCCGTACCGTGTTATGGGAATCACCAAAATCTCTTCTTGGGGTTAGAAATTGTAATTAGCGCGTGAGTGTTCTGGAAGTGTAGATTTCTTGGATATTTTTTGTAAACAAGCTTAAATTCAGTTTTTTTTTCACTTTGCACATACACGTTATATATTATAAGATAACTTATATAAATGTTTTTTGTTTATTAGCGGCAGCCCGCGACTTCGTCCAGAACCAAATATTTTTCCGGGACGAAAAGTATCCTGTGTCTCAATCAAGTCAGTAATGTTTGCATGATTGAGTACCAAACATACAAACTATTATTATTATTTAACATCTTTGAGGCTATGCAGTCCTAATGGAACTGTAGTCACTGCCACCTAGAAGATCTATTGTGACTCGCCACCAAGTTAAAGTATCACTTTTGGCCCGACAGCTTCCAAGAAGCTCAAAACGGTTCCAGCTTTTAGAGATTTGATTTCCTCTGGTCG